TTTGTTTATGATAACTCAATCTTTGTTCCTTTCAGCCTGTCACTGTTCCCGTTGGTTCCCTGATTTTCTCGGATGTGACTCTGAAGGGATTTTGGATGACCCGCTGGAATAAGGATCATTTTAGTCACCCAGAACGAGAGCAAATGTTAGGTGAACTTTTTGACTTGGTGAAGCAGGGTAAGCTGTGTCCACCTGATCATGCAATGGTCCCCTTTCAGGATTATAAAACTGCCTTGAAAGATGCTATGCCAAGTGATGGTATGGTTGGTAAAAAACAAATACTGGTCTTTCCTTAGATATGAACAATCAGTTTTGCTGTGCAAGGGAGTAAAAGAAGTTTTGACTGTTCTAAACCTGTATACTGAATGGGTTATCTATTTGAATATATGCTATGTATGGTTGAATACATTAAGTGGGGGTTAGCTGCTAATATCCTCATGATGTACATAAAGTTCTGGAAGCAATATATTTAATTTATGACCATCTTTTTCTTTTTCCATAAATTTTGTTAACCCCTTGGTGCCGGGTGACGCCGATCGGCGTGTAAACAAAGAGCTCGAAAGCTGGCGTGCAGCCGAACGAGCCGGCGGCGAGCCAGTGATTCGGGCTGATGTCCCCTACTCACGAGCTCAAAGTCAGCGCGCCGCCTTTGTTTGTTTAAGCGTAGATTTTTTTTTTTCTTTTGTACAGCCGGCACCATTGGGTTAAAAACACTTTCATTTTCAACAAATATTAAAGCAGGAGGTGCAAGGTTCACATCAATTTATGATAAGCTCAACTAAATGTGAAAAATATTGGTCTTCAGAGGTTATGGCTAATAAAACAGGAAGTAGAAATGCGCACTTTAATAATATAATACTTGCCTTTAGGCTAAATTCAACACATTTTTCCCCTACAAATCTGATATTGGCCCTAAATACATGTGGAGATGAAACACCAATATGTATGTAATGCACCAAAATATACCCAAAACAAATTTACAATAAGGTATAAAAAACTGCAATAAAGATCTACATGTATATAATATGCCTCAAGAGAGTTCTCTCTCTTTTTTATCTAACACTAACAGAGGGCTTTGTATAAATATACACTGGATGTGGTTTGCATCTCACGAAAGGGACTATGGAGCGCCACAAATACAAGGTCAAAAAATAATTCTGATGCCGTGGGTAGTTGGTGGAAGACATGAGGAACTTCCCTCACTCTCAATTCACATGATACACAGGTACACATCAAGGCTTGCCCACTTGGTTCTAGGATGGAGTTAAAGGGGATTATACAGTATAAGGAGTGTGGAATATAATAATGCTTCCACCAACTTGCCAACATCTCTTCTAATTTTCTGGCTATTAGATAAAAATTGCACAATCACACTAAGCAAGTTTTGGACCCAAGTACTAGTAGCATTGGTGATACAGTTGCATTTTTTTTTTTTTTTTTTTTTTTTGGTTTTTCCTTTTTTCTTTTTTGTTGCTAAGGCAGATCTGCAGGATCTAAATTTACCTTGTAACTACTGCTCTATTTTTTTTTCTTATTTTTCCTGTGAACATGTGCATTTACTGGCAAAGGTTTATCACATTTTTAAATCTTAAGTAAAGAGCAATATATAGATGTTACATGATGCTAGAAATTAATGTAATATCTATTCATGTTAATTTATTTAATTATTATTACAGGGAACATGTAATGTCCTCTCTTGTTTTGTTGTGAAATATGTTTGCACACAGATAGGTCCACCAGTGCTCATTCACCAAGCAGACAATTGGTAAGCCTACATGACCAGACCTGATTTCCCTTTCCTTGACTTCAGGATATTTATTTTCCCTCTTTCCTGATGTTATTAATATCAACTGACATAATGATTAGTATAATGTTATTAACAATATTAAAAGCAAAATTAAATAAAAATTATTTCCAAAAATCAAGGAAAAGGGTAAACACGTAAGACTAGGAATTGATTGATGACTGTGCACTTTTGGAGCCATCTACATGTAAACACAATAAACTAAACTCGTGGTGGCATTTTACGCACATACAAGCCACCCCCAACAGCAATGGGTTAAGTTTAGATTTTCTTTCATGGCCTCTGGTTGTAAGGGACGAGGGAGTTTGAAAAAGGAAATCACTATGCTATTTGCCCTTATAACTATATCAAACTAATTCACACAAATAATTCAACCTATGGCAAATTTAACAAACCAACTGCCCATATGACAAGCAGTGGAAACTTACAGAAAATTATATCAAATGCTTAAGTAGTAATTTAGAAGTTTACTTAAGACTTTTTTTTTTCTTTATTCTTTTTTTTTTTACATTTGCTTTTCTCCTTTTTTTTTTCTTTTTTCTTCCTTTTATTAGCCCCTAAATGTAAGACACACATCAACAGAATGGTATAAAAGACTTGGGAAAAAAAAACTATATAATTCTAGTCAAATTGAAATTATAAGAAAAGACCCTACACTAGAACAAGCCCCGTCATTGTTAAGTTGGTCACATCTAA